TTCAATGTATTTTATATAATCTTATCTGGTTCCTATGTTTTAAAAATAAAAATATTTTATAACGAAATGAGATGAGTATTGATCAAGCATTTTGAGTGGGGATTGTTTTTTATCGAAGGGTGTGGTTTATTAAATTGGTAATGATTTTTAGTACTTGGTTTTCATGTTCTTGGTTGGTTGGTTAACTTGACCCGTTCCTCAGGGGTATACTAAGAGTAATGATAGTAGTCCCGAGATCTATTTATCATGGAGTGTGATGAGGAGTGTGATGCAGTCTAACTTGTAATTGTTGTTTTCTTTTCATTTAGTTTGGCATGTGGTTTCCTTATTGTAAAGTTGTTTACTTTATTTAATTATTATTTTCATTGAAACATAATGCTTGATTGAACTAGATGGGTATACTGTTACTGAGGTGTCTAGCTTATGCTTTTAAAATCTCATCTCATTTTAGGTGCAGAAAAGTGAGCATTTGGGGTTGCATTTGGGAGTGAGAGACACAACGGTCCTAAAGTAGTTCCTTGGTTTAGTTTAAGTTATTTCTGGATTTTGGAATATTTAGAAATGAAGACCTATTTGCTATGACTTATTGCTATGGGATTTTATGTTGGATTTTATGTTGGATTTTATGAAGTGAGGATCAAGTGTTTTAATTAGACTTGACCAACTACTCGTACATGTTAATAAAGATGGAGTTTTTTTTTTTTATTTTTTTTATTTTATAGAATTTAACTTTATTGCATTTGGATATTAAAAGTTGTTTAGTTGAGGTAGTTTTACACATTTATGGGGTCATCCCTATAGATATGTGGCATTTGTCATATTTTGACCTTGGGTTTGGAGCATGACAGTAATTTCTCCTGATTTCCATGGGGCCTTGTGGGAATCTCGGTTGTGGGGGTGGGGCGGAAACATGGGGTATTTTCCTCCATGGACTTATGCAGGGAATTTTCCTTACCTCATAGGGTTTCGTCCTTGTGAAAAATTAAAAAATAATATAAATTAATTTTATTTTAAATTTAATCAAACCCAATGTATTACAATATATTTCAAATTCAACTCAATAAAAATTTAATTTAATTCAATTTTACACAACCCAACCCAACCTATTTCCAAGTCTAACCCAATTAAATTAAATTGGATCAATCTTTGTTTATGTTCAGAGAATTTATATTTGATTTTATGTTTGGAATACTTTAGTTAATTGTGTTTCAATTTTTAGAATTTTGTTTGTTATGTTCAAATATTAGTTAATTATATTTAGAGAGTGAAATTTACATTTTGATATAAATTGATGGGAAACAGGACGATCACTCCCCTAGCCTTGTGGGTCCCATTGCCACCCCTGACTAATGTCAATAAATTTTTATGTACACGAAATATATTGTTAAAATATTATTAGATATTGCAGATCGAGACTAGGCACAACAAATCTTTACCCTTGAATCAAGTTTTCTTTTTTTTTTTATATGACTTGAATTCAAAATTTATACAAAATTTAGTCTACAAGCACAATTAACTAATTAAAGGAAAGCATGTCATGCTAGGAGGCTGAAATGCACAGAGGAAAGAAGTTGTCCTTACTATTAATCCTAAAATGCCACAAATCATGTTTAGAATAGGAGTTGTTTAGATTAGCTGTTTCAATATGATTGATAATGATACTTGATATTTGACTACTGATAATTGTTGTTATTTATAATTCAAAATATCTAATTCATTTGATTAAAATAAAAAATTTATAATTATTTATAAAAGACCAAAATAAACGCCCCTTATATAAAATGGAGATTAATCTTTTGAGGAATACGACCTGATCTTGACACATTGTATATACTACTGCTAGTGATGGAAAGAGAGTGCACTCCTGCATTCCCTGAAACCTTTTACCATTAAAAGAAAGGTCTATAGCATTAAAAGAAAGGTCTATAGCCTTCCAAGCCCCACATAGATTCCAAAGGACACTTCCCCCGTTAATGTCGCACAAGGTGGCCGTCTTTTCTTCAGGGGGAGAGGTTACAATACTGTCCAGTTGGCTCCTGAAGTTGAGGAAGCTGTCATAAATCCTCCTAAAACCATATTGTGCGGTAATGTGGGACTAGACGCCATTAGTCATGGAATGTGATCATAACGAAGAACATGGTGGGGGGTGATTGAGCCATCTGATCTCTTCGGTTTTGAAAGAGATAGACATTATATTTTCCCGATATCAAAGTCCTATTTTGTCAAGGAAAAGAGAAAAGTTGAAAGATGTTTCGGTGTCCAACTAATTTACTTGTTTTAGAGCATGTTTGGTGAAACTTGTATGTGTTTTAACTTTTTGATATTATTTATATTTCATAAAGTTAAAATTTTTTTCTTAAAAATTTATATTTTTTTAACTTTTTTTAATATTAAAAAGGCATTAAATAGTAAATTTTAAAAAATTTTAAACTTTTACTTTTTATAAACTCTTTTTATATTCACTTTTTATTCATTTTTTTTATTATTTTTAAAAATAACTTTTAAATTTTTTCTTTAATAAAACTTTAAACTTATAATTAATAAGCAGTATTAAAAAGTAAAACTACAAAAAACTCCACCAAACATACCCTTAGTTGAAAAAAGGGTTCTATGAAATTTTAGTGGATCTGGGTATCTCATCCACCGGCCTAGTGAAAAGCATGAATTCATAGTAATGTAAACTTTTAAAATATATTTGACTCATTTGAGGGAGGAGATTTAATATCTAATACCTACCCATGTCAAAGCATATTCTGAGCCATCCTCCGTTAAGAATAGGGGTCTTTGGATTAGCCATTTCAATGCAATTAATAATTAGTAGTTGATATGTAACGGTTAATAATTGTTATTATTTATAATTTAAATTTGAAGTATTATATTTATTTGATTAAAATCAATAGTTGATAATTACTTGCAAGCAATTAATGATATAAATAATTTAATGATAATTATTTTTTAGGTAAAGATAATTTTCTTTCATTAAAACTAAAAAGTCATAAGTTTATAAATTCAAATCATACAATATACAAGTGAGCTAAGTTAAAGAAAGAAAAAAGAGTAAAAGGTAAAAGAGAATAGTACCTTATTATGCAATTCAAAATTTTTAAAAAAAATTCAAAAGAAACATCCCTTAGGTTGGTTTAGAATCTTTATGAGTTTATTATGCTGTTGGAAAATGATTAAAAAGACAATGTTTAAATTAAAAAACGAAAAAAAGTATTTATATATTTTTTGATAAGCAGAGAAGAAAAAAATATTTATAAGTCTTGGTTAGCAAGTCTACTGTTGTTTTATAGCTTTTTACTAGAAAGTTTTTAAATCGGAAAGAAAAAGAAATATTTGTAAGTAATTAAAAAAAAAAAGGAGTATGCCAAGCGAGATCTAACAATATATTAAAGAAATTGTTACGCAATTTCACAAATAATATTTTTAATATAGTTTGTTTGAGAAAAATAAAAGATAAGGAAGAGAAGTAAAGTATTTTTTAATTAATTAAATTATAATATTTAAAAATATTATAATTTAATTAATAAAAAAATCCATCCCTACCATTTTCTT